TCTTACGGGCTAGCAGGCGAGCCCAGCGCGGGGTGGTCGCCTCAGGACCCCAGCGTGCACGGTAGAGGTCGTCGAGGCGGCGGAAGCACCGCGCTGCAGAGTGGTCGTCGCGGCCGCAGACACAGGGACTGCCAGGTCCGGTGACGCACCAGTGGTCGCAGGGGCCGGTGTCGCGCCGCGGGGGGCGAGGGGCCCAGCTGGTAGTGCTGCTGCTGCGGCCAGTGCTCCCGGGTCCTCCAGGTCCCCACTGTGGCGGAGGGCCCCAGTGCTGCTGCGGACCCCACTGCAGTGGGGGTCCCCACGTCTGAAACTGCTGTGGTGCCTTTTACTGCTGCTGTCCCTGGTGCAGCTGCTGTCTCTGCTGTGGCTGCTGCTGCTGTGGCTGCTGCTGCTGTGGCTGCTGCTGCTGTGGCTGCTGCTGCTGGGGCCCCGCACCACCGCTGGTCGAACCTCCTCCAGCAGGTGGGTCAGCACCTCCTCCAGAGCTCCCTCCGCCTGGGGCAACACCGCCACCACTGCCGCCCCCAGGGCCGCCTCCACCACCGCCACCTCCTCCACCGCCGCCACCCCCCTTCCCCCCTTTCTTGCCCCCCTTGCCCCGTTTCTGCCTGTCAGCGGCAGAAACAGCTGCAGTGTCCTCAGAAACCGACACAGCAGCAGAGGCACGTGTAGCAGTGAAGGTAGGAAGCTGGGGGACAGCACACCCCTCAAACAAACGAGGGGCAACTGCGTCAGTGGCTGAGGCAACAGAGAGGAGGTTACTCTCGATCTTCCCGAGAGTGGTCTCGAGAAGATCAATCGTAAGCTCACTGGGGTGATGCTGGAGAAGTGCGTCACGGGCAGTGGAGAGGCGGTCAGGGAGACGAGTGACTACCCAGTGGACTGTGAGCCAAATAGGAGGAGGAGCAACAAGAAGCTGAGCCTCAGTGCAAGCTGCTCGGTAGCTAGCGACAAGGGAGCGCAAGTGTGTGGCTAGGTCAGAGACAGTCGCAAAAGAGCCGAGGTCGGGAAACACGAACGGCATGAGGATGCGGCTGAGGGAGGCAGAGGAAGGGGTGGAATAGCGTGCAGAAATAGCATCATACACCTCCTTCGCAGTCTCTACCAGGTCGAAGTGAGCGGCCTCAGTCGGTGGAAGGAGCTCGGTCAGCGCGAGTGCAGCCGCAGCGTCACGGGAGTCCCAAACGTCCCACGCCAAGACGAGACGAGCGTAGTCCGCCTGTGCCTCCGGAGTCGGGGGGGGCACGGCAGGGAGGGGCTCGGGACGCGGTGGTGCCTGGAGGGCGCCGGATGCGTGGGCGTACAGGGTGGCGCCGTCCTGGCGCTGACTGGTGAGATAGCGCTGAGTCTGGCGGAGCCAGGTGCCGAACTCTATCGGGCGCCCCTCTGCATTGAAACGAAGGCGGCGGGAGGAGTCCATATTGGATGCTAGGCTAGGAACAGCTGGAGCACGGAGCAAACGGAGCTAGGAGCGAGGAGCGCCAGGTGGGACTAGGCGAGGTACTGCTGGAGCACGGAGGAAAACTGAGCTAGGAACGCCAGTCTAGTAACGAACGGAGCTGGGAGTTAGCTGAGCTAGGAGCACACGGCTGGAGGAGGCAGGGCTGACGAGCCGATCGAGGAGCCAGAGGGTCGTTCGAGGGGCTGGCGGAGCGAGGAGAGACCTAGCTAACAACGAACGTCAGGACTAGCCTAAACAGCTAAGCGGAGCGGCCTCCAGCCGCGACGGTGCGAAACACTGTGAGTATGAGTGACGCGAGTGTCGAACCAACGGAGGTCGGGTGGTCCTGGGTGGTGTGCGCGCGTGATAAGGGGATGTGAGCGTTTGGAAGGGGCTCTGAGTGGTTGGAAGGGGTTGTGAGCGGTTGGAAGGGGCTGTGAGCGGTTGGAACGGGCTGTGAGCGGTTGGAAGGGGCTGTGAGCGGTTGGAAGGGGCTGTGAGCGGTTGAAAGGGGCTGTGGGCGGGTGGGAGGGGCTAGCTGGCGCCAGCTGCTGGCGGCTAGGTTCCGGTGGCTAGCTGCTGCTGGCGGCTAGCTTCTGCCTAGCCGTGCTGCTGCTGCAATGCACGCGCTGCTGCCTAGCCGTGCTGCTGCAGCAAAGCACGCGCTGCTGCTGCAATGCGCGTGCTGCAGTGGCGTGCGCGGCTGCCGCTGGCTAACGCGCGCGCTGCTGCGGGCTAAGAACGACTACGCGGGCCCGCGGGGGGGGGGGGGGAGAGTCCCTTCTGGAGCGCGACGAAACGAGGGGCCAGCGGGGCCCTGTAAACGCGACGAAAAACGAGGCCCGCGGGGGCCCTTAAACGCGACGAAAACGAGGCCCGCGGGGGCCCTTAAACGCGACGAAAACGAGGCCCGCGGGGGCCGTCCTACCCGCGATGAAACGGGGCCTAAGGGACGGGCGCCTCGGGACCGGCTAAGGGAGGGAGCGGAAGCGTGGGAGGGAGTAAAAAACCTACTCTAATACCATCTTAAGATAGGCTAGGAGACAAGTGTCGAGAGTAATCTTTGAGTAAGGAGAGACAAGGAGATACAAATGTCGACCTAAAGTGTTGTACCCTTTAGAGGGCAACTCACTGTAGCCTATCTAATTGTATATAGAATATATAAACATTTGACAGTTTGACACTTGTATCTCCTTGTTGCTAGTCATTCATCATTCCTGCACAGTTCTCTCGACATGGTTTCAGAGCAGGTCCATCCGTAGGACCACTCCTTTAGGGCCCACCGTTAGTTCCGTTCTGCCTGTTTTACTGCCCGAATCGCGCCCCTAGGCAGGCCATTTTTCCCGCCCGAATCGCGCCCCTAGGCTGGCCGTTTTTCCTGGCCGTTTTTCCTGGAAATCCATGCTGTAGATGTTTCAAATGCATTTATTCAAAGCGACCTTCACAATCACATCTTTCTCTAGGGTTGAGCACGAACCAAACTCAAACGTATTTGGTCGAACCTTTTCGAACATTTACATTTAACCAAACCGAACTGAACAGGTTTGGTCGAAATCTTAAAAGAGAATTCAAAGTTCGAGGTTTGCCTGTACTAGGGCGAACCGAACAATATCAGTGGCTACATAGAACTGAACCACTAGTGTAATCACAAGAGACAAGGTTTGAAGGTTAGGTGTTTGTACTGGTGCTTAAGGCAGGTTCAGTGTTCTGCTATTAGCGGATATGCCTGCCTCCGCCTTGGGATTGGATTGACTGCTTGCGGGAGTTGGTGGTTCTGTTGGATAGGTGCCGGTGTTGTGAAAGAAGAGTAGAAAAAGTATAGAGTACCGTATTTGCTTTCTTGGTGTTAGCCACTACGTTTCCACAGCCATTTCAGGGTTGACCCGCACGGGAATTTCCAGTTTCGAGTATTCCATGCGTTCAGTGCTTGGGCTTTCCAGATTCTCACGTCAATCTCGTCTTCAGAGCTTCATTCTCTTTTGCACACCAGCGAACCAGGATTTGCGAGGTTATTTTTTCTTGCGAGCATTTCTTGTTGTTGCGGATTAGGGTCTGGTTGGATTTAACCGAGGAGTCCAGGTCGGTTAAGGTTAGTTCGCCGAATTGCGCTTAATAATCTGGAAATAGCGGTTCCGAGGTTAAGGCGGACAGTTCAACGGATATTCCGGCGGTTGTTCCGGCGGAGGTTCCGGCGAAGGTTCCGGCGTAACAAGGCACTGAGAGTACTGGGTATGGCTGGTAAAGAAGAGAGTGTCGTGAAACCTGCGGACGCAAACGAGGGGCGGCGACGGCGGGGCCGCGGGGAGAAGGAGAGGGAGCGAGTGAAGGAGAGAGAGAGGGAGAAAGGGCGGGATCGGGAGCGTGAGAGAGACAAGGACAGGGATCGGGAAAGGGATCGAGATCGAGATCGGGAGCGGGAGAGGGATCGGGATAGGGATAGGGATAGGGATAGGGAAAGGGATAGGGATAGGGATCGGGAAAGGGATAGGGATAGGGATCGGGATCGGGATTGGGAGAAGGAGAAGGAGAAGGAGAGAGAGGAGAAGGAAAAAGAGCGAGGAGAAAGAGAGACCGAAAGCGATGGCGAGGGGAATGAGAAAGGGAAGGAGAGGGAGCAAGAGCGCGAGCACGGGAGGGGACGACGTCGAGAGAAGGATAAGAGAGATAGCAGGGATGATAGGGATGGTGGTGCTGGTGGGGATGGTGAGGATGGTGGGGATGATGTAAGGGAGGTCGATATGGATAGGGAGGCGGAAGGAAGCACGGAAGGCGAACAGGTTCCGGAGGGGAGGCGGGAAAACGCGAGGGAACGAGGCCGAGAGCGGGAGAGAGGAAGTGGAAGTGAGGAGAGGGATAAGGAGAAGGAGGGAGAGAGAGAGAGGGAGAGGGAGAGGGAGAGGGTCAGGGAGAGGGAGAGGGAGAGGGAGAGGGAGAGGGAGAGGGAGAGAGAGAGGGACGGGAAGAGGGGCGAGAGGAGAGGGAGGGAGAGGGCGAAGGCAGAGAGCGAGGATGAGGCGGAAAGGGAGAAGGAGAAAGGGTGGGCGAGAGAAGGACACGAGAAAGGCCAAGAGAGGGGTCAGGAGAGGGGGAGAAGGAGGAAGGAGGAGGGCGGACGAGGGGAGAAGCAAGAGACGGAGAAAACAGCAGAGCAGAGCCGAGGAGGAGCAGGAGGAGGGGCAGGGAGCCCACCATACGACAAGGACGAGAAAGTGCTCGCATATCATGGGAAGCTGCTTTACGAGGCGAAGGTGAGAAATGGGGGGAAGGTGCGTAATGGGGGAAAGGTGCAGCAGGAGGGACAGGAGGAGGAGCAGGAGGAGGGTCAGGGACCCCACCATACGACAAGGACGAGAAAGTGCTCGCATATCATGGGAAGCTGCTTTACGAGGCGAAGGTGCGTGATGAGGGCAAGGTGTGTGATGGGGCAAGGTGTGTGATGGGGCAAGGTGTGTGATGGGGCAAGGTGCGTGATGGGGCAAGGTGCGTGATGGGGCAAGGTGCGTGATGAGGGCAAAATGACTTGTTAGTCGACTCAAAAGGTCTTGTGAGTCGAGTCAAAATGACCTGTGAGCTTCTGTATGGGGGCAAGGTGCGGGATGGGGGCAAGGTGCGGGATGGGGGCAAGGTGCGGGATGGGGGCAAGGTGCGGGATGGGGGCAAGGTGCGGGATGGGGGCAAGATGATTTGTGAGTTGAGTCAAAATGACTTTTGAGACGACTCAGATTCCGTCCTTGTGCCTTCTCATGCCGGTGTTTGTCGAGTCGAGTTAGAATACATTCTCTCCTCACTCTCCCCCCCCTTCCCTCCCTCCGCCCATTCTCTCCCTCCCTCCCTCCCTCCCTCCCTCCCTCCCATCCATCACCCCCTCCCTCCTGCCTCCCTCCACCCATTCTCTCCCTCCCTCCCTCCCTCCCTCCCTCCCATCCGTCACCCCCTCCCTCCTGCCTCCCTCCGCCCATTCCCTCCCTCCCATCCCTCCCATTCGTCCCTCCCGCCCATCTGTGGCACGGTTGGTGTTGTGGCATGGCACCACGGCAGGGGGGTTGGAGCTGGAGAGGGACGAGAACGGCGACTGGTCTTTCTTGCAACCGCCACCCCTCTCTCTCTCTTTCCCCCCCTCTCCCTTTTTCCCGGCCGTGCCTCTGTGGGTTGCTGGTGGCACCACGGCAGGTGTTGAAGCTGGAAAAGGACGAGAACGGCGACTGGTCTTTCTTTATCCACTACACTGTATGATGCCCCCTTTACCTTTCAAACGTTCCTCTTGTGTTGTATCGGCCATAGGTACATACATGCAACTTTCTCCTTCCCTTTCTCTCATTCTCTCCCGTTATAAATGGCATGCATGCTTGCAACACAACACCGTCAACTCCTGCTTCCTCCACTTCACCCACACCATCTCTCATCCCGCCCCTTGATTCTTCAACGCTCTCCCTCCCACTCTTTCCCCCCAGCCCACCCACCCACCCACCCACCCATCTATCCATCCCCCTCCCCCCTCCCCGCCCGTGCCTCTCCCCTGTGCCTCACATGTATTCTCCTCGCCCTTCTCCGCCCGTCGTCTGGCCCCTGCGGTCGCGCTGCTGCGCATGCGTGTTTCCTACACCCTGCTCTCCTGCAACTCATCTGCGCTGCTGCAACTGCAACGCTTGTCCTACTGTTCTGATTGCAACAGGGGTGGAAGAAAAGGTGACATTTCACCACTGCTCCCTCACACCCAGCTTTCGCTCCCTTCTTATCTCACTCACTCTCCTCCCCTCTTCTCTCACTCTGTACCCGTGCCCCCCCACCTCCCTCAACTTCCCCACCTCCCTCAACTTTCCCACCTCCCTCAACTTTCCCACCTCCCTCAGCTTTCCCACCTCCCTCAGCTTTCCCCCCTCCCTCAACTTTCCCCCCTTTCGCCATGCACCGCTTTGCACTGAATCCGTGCCCTCTTTGCCTGCTACTCGTAATGAATAGGCAATGCCGCTGCCTATCCAAAGCCCGGCCGGCCTCACTGCCAGGAAGCATTCCATAGCCTGTTGCTATGGGCAACAACTCACTTGCTTCTGCAATTTCGACTTTTGAGGCGCCTCAAAAGCCGGCCGGCCTAACTGTTGAGAAGCATTCCTTAGCCCGTACTGAATGGGCAACAACTCACTTGCTTCTGCAATTTCTCAAAAAAGCGGTTTTGTTGTGCACATGTGTTTGGTGCGTGTGTCAGCTGGGACGAGTGGGTGGGCACGGTGCGCTTGCTCACGGACACACACGGAGGAGAATCCGCACCACAAGCAGCAGACCAATAAATCGACTCAAAAGTCAATTCTGTGTGTGCTCTCTCTGTGTGTGCTGTGCACGTGTGTTGGGTGTGTGTGTGCGGCAGTTGGGACGAGTGGGTGGGCACGGTGCGATTACTCAAGGACACGGAGGAGAACCAGCGCCGCAAGCAGCAGCTGAAGCAGGAGGCTCAGGCGGGCGGCCGGAAGGACAAGGCGCCTGCTCGTGGCAAGGTCACCTCACCAGGTGGGTGCTGGGGAGGGAGGGAGGAGAGGGGGAGGAGGGAGGAGGAGCAAAGGGGGTAGGAGGGAGGGAGGAGGGGAGTTGAGTGGTTGGGAAATTGGGGAGAGGGGGTTTTGGGGAATAGGGGGAGGATGGGGGAGGGTTAGTGGCAATCGCAGCAGCTGAAGGCGTCTGCTTGTGGCAAGGTCACTTCGCCAGGTGGGTGCTGGGGGGGGAGGGAGGGAGGGTGGGAGGGGGGGGAGGAGGAGGGAGGGAGGAAGGAGTAAGGGGAGGAGATTGGTTGGGAGGGGAGGAGAGGGGAGGGGTGGGGAGAGGAAGGGAGAGGAGGGGAAGAATCAGGTGGGAAGAGAAGACAAGGGAAAAAGGGAATCCTTGCCTCTAGTATGTGTCTGGTATGTTTTTTCCTTTGAGCCTTCTGACGGAGGTCTTTCACAAGCATCCTTGTGACAGATTCTTCGATCTGGCAACTCGTATGAGATGGCTCAACTCAACGACCTGAAAGCAAGCACGGCCTGCTTCCATTCCTTCTCTCAGTGCATCCCTCCATTCGACGGTCGACACACACCTGCTCCCCATCCACGTCTGCTCTGCTGCCCCTTCAGCCCACACTCCCCCCCATATGCTTCATGTGTCCCGTCCGCCCCATCTGCCCTATCTGCCCCATCTGCTCCATTTGCCCCTTTTTTTTCAGATGTGCACGGGTCAGGAGGCAAGGGGCGCAAGAGAAAGGCTCCAGATGTAAGTTCCTCTTTCTCCCTTGCACCTCTTCTCTTCTCATTCACCTCCTCCCGCCCTTCAATCCTTCCCCTATTTCCTCACTCCCTCCCTTATTTCCTCACTCCCCTGCTGTGACTCTTACTGCCTAGCCTTTCTTCTGAGCAGGCTCTTGAGTTGACTTACCTACCTAACCATTCTGATCGTTCTGTTTTTTTTACTTCCCATCCTTCCCGTTTCTCCCATCTTTCTTCCTCCTTTCTCCCCCTTTTTTGCCCTTTTCCCCCCCTCCTTTCTCTCCGCTTATCCCCCCATCCTCTCTTCGTTCTCCCCATTTTCTCCCCCCTTCCACCCCTCACATCCAGACCACCCCTGGTTCAGCTGGTGCCAAAGCTGGTGGCTCTTCTGCTGCTGCTGCCGCTGCTGCCATTGCTGCTGCGGCCACAAGCCCTCCTGCTGCTTCTGGTCGGGGTGCTGGTGCTGGGGGTGCTGGGAGAGGGAGGAGAAGAGGAGCAGGGCGAGCAGAAGGAGGGGAAGAGGAGGCGGAAGGGAGGAAAGCAGGGGAGGAGGAGGAGGATGAGGAGGAGGAGGAGGAGGAGGAGGAGGAGGCGGAGGGAGAGAGTGCGGGGCAAAGCGGTAGAAGCAGTGAGGAGGAAGAGGAAGAGGAAGAGGAGGTGGAGGAGGGGCGCGGGGGGGAAAGAGGGCGGGGAAGGGGAGGGGGGAACCGGGGGGAACGGGGAAGCGAGCGGGGGAGGGGAGGGAGAGGGGGGACTGCAGGAGCTGGTTCTGGGGGCAGGAGTGGTGGTGCTGGGGGGACTAGCGGGGGCGGAGGGGGGGGAGGAGGGGGAGAGGGAGGAGGCAGAGGCGGGGGGGGAGGGGGAGGAGTGAGGGGAAGCGGTGGGGCAGAGAAGGGCGGGGTGTGCGATGTGGATCTGGCATTGTTCATCCCGAATGCCCTTAAGAGGCAGTTACTAGAGGATGAGGACCTGGTGGTGCGGCAGAGGAAGGTCAGTCTGTTTGTCTTGAGACATCTCGAAACTCAGTTGTTTGTTCATCCCGAATGCGCTCAAGAGGCAGTTACTAGAGGATGAGGACCTGGTGGTGCGGCAGAGGAAGGTCAGACTTGAATGCTCCTTTCACTGCCCACTCTCTTGCTCGCTTCTCGCCTTAGACGCAAGTTTTTTTTTTTTTTTTTTCTTCTTTTTTTTTTTTTCTTCTTTCTTTCTTTCTTTCTTTCGTTCTTTCTTTCTTTCTTTCTTTCTTTCTTTCTTGGGTTATTGGGCTGTGCTTCTTGTAGTCAATCACAAGCAGCTGCTGACTATCCCCCACCCACATGCCCGTTCCCTCCCACCTCATCTCTCCCCTTTCCGCACCGCCACATCCCCTTATCCCGTGCCCTGCAGCTCGTGCCATTGCCGTGCAGGCCATCTGTGGCAGAGCTGCTAGCGGATTTCATCAGCTCCAAGCGCAGCAAACGGTCAGTCGGTGCCTGCCTCTTCCCGCCCCCCTCCTCTTCCTGTCTTGTCTCCCCCTCCTCCTGAGTCAATGGAAATGTCTGGAACCAACCTCAGTGGCGGAGCTCCTAGCAGATTTTCCCTCTGCCTTGCCCCTCTACCCCCGCCCTCCCTCCCTTCCCTCCCCCCCCCCCCCCCCCCCACACCCCCCTCCTCCTTGTGACTCTCTACGTGTATCTTTGGTTTGGCCCTCTGTGTGCTGAGTTGACTTTTGAGTCGACTCAAAAGCAGATTTACCCTCTGCCTTCCCCCTCTACCCCCGCCCTCCCTCCCTTCCTCCCCCCCCCCACACCTCCCTCCTCCTTGTGACTCTCTACGTGTATGTTTGGTTTGGCTCTCTGTGTGCTGAGTTGACTTTTGAGTCGACTCAAGGTGACTTTTGAGTCGAGGTGACTTTTGAGTCGAGGTGACTTTTGAGTCGACTCAAAAGTCACTACGTGTATGTTTGGTTTGGCCCTCTGTGTGCTGAGTTCCTTGCAAACCCTATCAGCTCCAAGCAAACCCTATCAGCTCCAAGCAAACCCTATCAGCTCCAAGCAAACCCTATCAGCTCCAAGCAAACCCTATCAGCTCCAAGCAAACCCTATCAGCTCCAAGCAAACCCTATCAGCTCCAAGCAAACCCTATCAGCTCCAAGCAAACCTTATCAGCTCCAAGCAAACCCTATCAGCTCCAAGCCAACCCTATCAGCTCCAAGCAAACCCTATCAGCTCCAAGCCAAGCACAACGAACACACACTTTCTCTGCTGCTGTTCCTCCTCTCCTCTTCCTTCGCCTCCCCGGTTTCAGTATCCTCCTTTCTCCTTTCCTGGCATTCCCCACCTCACAATCATCACTTCTCCTTTTGAGTCGACTCAATTTATTTTACTTTTGAGTCGACTCTTGAGTTGACTTTTGAGTCGACTCAAAAGTCAACTCCTGGCATTCCCCACCTCACAATCATCACTTCTCCTTTCAGGGCTTCATGCCCTCATCTCCCGTACCTCCCCTTTCTCCTGTTTCGAGTCGACTCATGTTGTGAGTCAACTCCATCCAGTCACTTCTCCTTTCACAGCTTGGTGCCCTCATCTCCCGTACCCGCCCCTACTCCTTCGCCCCTACCTCCCCTCCCCTTTCCCCCCCGTTTCCCCCTCCACTCCTTCCCCACTTCCCCCAACCCCCCCCAGGCGCGGCAAGGGCATGGCAGAGGTGGTGAACGGCATCCGGTGCTACTTTGACCGCTCGCTGCCGCTCATGCTGCTGTACAAGGAGGAGCGCGAGCAGTTCCAATGCGTCTTTGCCCGCCTCACTGCCGCCGCCTGGTGCTCTTGAGAGTTCCAAAAAACACTCCGCCCCTTGCCCCTCGTCCCCCACCTTCTTTGTCCCTTCCGCTTCCCCCATTTTCCTCCCTCCCTTCTCCCCCCTACCCCGTACCCCCTCCATGCTCCCCCCTCCCCCCGCCGCCCTCCCCCCACTCTCCCCCCAGGCGCGGCAAGGGCATGGCAGAGGTGGTGAACGGCATCCGGTGCTACTTTGACCGCTCGCTGCCGCTCATGCTGCTGTACAAGGAGGAGCGCGAGCAGTTCCAATGCGTCTTTGCCCGCCTCACTGCCGCTGCTTCTGCCTCCGCCTCTGGTGCTACTGCCGCAGCAGCAGGAGGAGGAGGTGGTGGAGGAGGGGGAGGAGGGGGAGGGGGGAGTGGAGGAGGAGGAGAGGGGACAGTGGGAGAGGGGGCGAGGGGAGGAGGAGGGGGTGGGGGAGTGTCGGATGCTGCGGCTGCGCCGTCGACTGTACGGCCGTCGGATATATACGGGGCGGAGCACCTGCTCAGGCTCTTCAGTAAGTCTTGCTGTTGCCTGTTGCTCTCATGACGTTTGAGTCGACTCATAAGTCACTACGGCCGTCGGACATCGGGGCGGAGCACCTGCTCAGGCTCTTCAGTAAGTCTTGCTGTTGCTCATGGAGGGGGGTGAACGGGGACCAGGGAGGGCGGGGATGTGTGTCGTGTCTCTGTATGTTCGCGCGTTTCTGTTTTGTCAGCGCCTTTTCTGGTGGATTGAGCAGTAAGTAAGTACCTGTTTTGAGGCGACTCAAAAGCTGCTTGTCTGGTCGTTTGATCAGAGAGTAAAGCACACTGTCTCGTTTTGTGGGTGTGTGGAATAGTACCAGATCCTTCTGAGTCGACTCAAAAGTCACTGTCTCGTATCGTGTGTGCTTGGAGTAGTACCAGATCCTACCATTGTGCACACTGTCTTGTCACTTGCAATCTCGTCAGCACACCCCCTCTCAAACCAATCAACCCCTCCATCTACTCCTGTGTTTGCTGGTCCCACCATCACCATCACCATCACCATCACCATCACCATCACCATCACCATCACCATCACCATCACCATCACCATCACCATCACCATCACCATCACCATCACCGCCACCGCCACCGCCACCGCCACCGCCACCGCCACCGCCACCGCCACCGCCACCAGCCAAGCTGCCTGCAACGCTGGCAACGGTGTTCTCCGAGCAGGAGGCCCTACACAGCTCTGCGCCCTTGAGCACCTTTTAAACAAACCAACCAGCCAATCCCTCCATCTCTCCCTGTTCTTCGTTTTGCCACCGCCACCACCATCACCATCACCAGCCAAGCTGCCGGCAATGCTGGCGACAGTTTACTTTGAGCAGGAGGCCCTGCACCAGCTGTTCCAGAACTTCAACATCATCCTCAAGTGAGTGCGCTTTCACTACCCTTGTGCATTCAGGTGATTTTTTAGGCGCCTCAAAAATCACCGCTTTGAGCAGGAGGCCCTGCACCAGCTGTTCCAGAACTTCAACATCATCCTCAAGTCAGTGCGCTTTCACTACCCTTGCTGTCGCTTGTTCTTATGCCTGTTTCGCGAATCACTTGTTTTTTCGTCCCCAGCTAGTGTTTTCACCTCTCCCTTTCGTTGCCCGAGTGTTCTGATATCTGCCAGGTTCCATATACCCACGCTTGTGGCGTTTTTTCAGTTCTCGTGCCTCTATTGTCTTGGGAACGTACTTTCTCTGTACTCGGCGTGGCAGGTACCTTCAGAGGAACAGGACCACCATATTTGCATCTTCATATGTGGATGCGGCTACAGCACTGCAGCCACCCTCAGAAACTCCCCAGTGACATTTTTGAACAGGAGTCGTCACTTGTTTTGTCCGTCTTCGTTTCTGTTTTAGCTGCCTTGAGATGCGCGGTAGTACTGCCACTTTTAACATTTGTTGGTGACCGAATGAGTGTACAATAGAGTATAGTGGCCTCCAAAAACACTTAATTAGGGAGCATGTTTTGTGTTCTATAATAGTATCCAAAAGTTTCCTGCAAATTGGCATCATTCCGTTGGGCCCTGCCTCTCTAGACTCTATGAACATGAAACTAAGGATGCCATCTGTGATGAATCAGAGTACCGTACAGAATCTTGAAAAACGCAGTGCTACAGCATGGATGCAACTTATCACACTGCACGCACATACCCTTACACTCGAAACAATTTACACATAAACACTTCCACTATCCCAACTAGCACCACTCCATCTTTACTCTAGCAGAACAGAGAAAACCAAGCACATCCCCTAACAACTACAGTATCAGCCACCCCTCAGATTCTGCAGTCCTTCCTTGAGAGAATCCAGAATCCCATGCCCTGCCGACTCTCCACTCTCCTTCACACTCTCCCCACTCTCCACCTTCTCCCCGCCCTCCCTCACCCTCTGCCCTGCACGCTCCGCAGATTCCGCCATCCCCTTCCGCACCTCTTCTGCGCTCCTCTCAGCCCTCCCCATCGCCCCCTCTACCCCCTCCTCCACTCTCCCTTTAACCCTCTCCGCTGTCTTCCCAGCCTCCTGCCTCGCCTTCTGCACCCCTCTCGCCCTCTCCCGAGCCTCCTCCTTCACCCGCTCAATCCCTTCCTTCACGTATCCGCCAGCTGACTCCGCGCCCTCCTGTGCGGCGGAAGTCCCTTTCCGCGCCTGCCCTTCCGCCGTCCCGCGCGCCTCCCCAAGAATCCCCTCCGCTTTCCGCCCTGCCGCCCCAAACCCTTCCCCTGCCTTTTCAGCAGCGCTTTCCGCGGTCTCCCGCGCGGATTTTAGCGCCTCCTCGGCTTTCCTTTCCGCTGCGCCCAGACCCTGGCGCGTTTTCTCCACGGCACCTTCCGCCTGCTCAGTGACCTTCCCCCCGAGCTCCTCCGCGCGCCTGCCAGCCGCCTCGCGCAATTCCTCCGCGCGCTGGCGTGCAGCCTCCCCGAGTTCCTCCGCGCGCCTTCCAGCAGCCTCCTTCAACTCCTCCGCGTGCCTTTGAGCCGCTCCGCGAAACTCCTCCGCCTGTCCGCCAGCTGCCTCGACCGTTTCTTTGGCCTGATCCGCGACTCCCTTGCGCGTTTCTTCCACCCTTTCAGACAGGACCTCTCCTGCTTTCTTCGCTTGATTCTCCAACGTCTGTCCTGTTTCCGCCGCCCTTTCTTTCACCTTCTGCCCGGCGCTCTGGGAAGAATCGGAAAGTTCGTTCAAAGCCCTGGCAGCGGGGTTGGACGGCAGTTGCTCGTATTCCACTCCCGGCGTCTCTGCGGCGCAGGCAGTGAGGGGAGTACTACCAGCAGCGATGACGACGAACATTGTAACCACACTCGCGGCAGCCACAAATGTCGCGACCGTCGACAAGAGTGGGGCTCGAGACTCCGCATCACTCGTCTCAGTAAATCCAGCATCGGTAGAGGTGCTAGAGACGGCAACAATTGTGTGAGATGCACGGCAGGCAGCGCCATCGCATTTCATGCTGCAGCGGATGCCATTCAATGAGACAGACGCAGCGTGGATCGCCGAAACCGAAGCGACGGAGGGGGATCGCCGTGAAAGACCGGAGACGACGCGTCGTGGACCAGCAGTCGACGCGAGAACCGCTGCACGAGTTTCACTGCTGCTGGAGCGCAGTGCGGGGACGCTGGGTGACGGAGAGAAGCGAAGCGTTGCAAGTTCAGGAGTCAGGAGTGCAGTAATGGACGCCATTGCACAAGTTCAGGCACAAAATGCGATTTCTTACTAGACAATCTTCGAGAGAGCGGAATTGCAAAGAAAGAAAAGGATCGCACGAACGTTGGGAAGGTTAAACCGGATGAGCGACACTATAAATTGTCGCGGAAAGAATCCTCGTCCGCGATAGCGGCCTCTACGGCGTCGAGAATTGATCTAATCGAAGTTGAGGTGCCGTTACGACCGAGGCTATCCTCGGAAAGTCGAGGTTTCCCAACTTCGTGGACATCGAGTTGAGTCGAGGAGTCGAAAGAACAAGGCTCTCTGTTTGACAAGGTGGGTGATGGTGGGGGTTGGGCTGGTTGGAATGGCAAATGTGGTGTTCATTTACCGAGCCGCATATTGCAAGTCTCATGCATTGCACATTTTAGCCGGAATGGCTGGAGAAGTTGACGCGTGGCAGAACACCCAGTGCTGCCTTACAAATGCTTCAAATACATCGCTTTGTACCTTACACTTCACGAAAGAAACTGAACAACGAAGGGAGATAATATGGCAAGGTGGGAAAGCTGACCACAATACTTTTGCGTTGTCTTCCACTTACGTTTCATTGTGATGTGGTTCCTTTCGTTGTAGATATCTCGGTAAAATCCTTGTTACACATACGTGCACCACCACCGAGGAGTACAACCGAACCTCGTATCGAGCGTAATTTAACGGCTACGATTACTCGACACCCACAGAAACCGTCACCAAGGCAGTTCACAGAACCACAACCATAAATCGCTCTCTCAAACCAAGCCAAACCAAACCTCCCCACCTTACCTGTGTGTTTCCCGCTACCTCGATGTTCCATACCGTCATGTACCGTTCCCCCTCTACCCTTACCATACCTGTGCAGTTGGTTTCAAACCCTATCACCAGATCTGCAATTTCGGTTCCCTCTTCTTGCGGATCTCAACTTCACTTCATCACCACCAACCACACAGATATCAGTAACCTCGACTTTTCCAAGCCACCACAGATTCCGTCAAGTTTCTCGGCACTCAGTCATTCTTCGGGCCATCCTGCTTGCGTAATCGTCGAGTATTCGTCGCGTAATTGTTGCGTTATCGTCGAGTGATGGACACGGAGGCGAAGCTGAACATGAGCCTGGAGGAGCTTGCGATGTCGTCGCGGAGGTCTCCCGGAGGCGGACTTAACGCGCGTCGTGTAAACCGGCGTCCGTCGCCGTACTCGCGCGGAGATTTCGGAACCCGGAGGGGCAGGTGGGAGACGGGGATTTACTCTTGGGGATGAGGTGCCGTGACACGCCCTGCTAAGGGCATGTCGAGCGCCATGGCAAGGCGTGTTTATAGGAATAGTGGAGGCATCTGAAAGTCGGCGTAGGCAATGGCTTGAGCCAGATCTGATAACGCCAACTACGTATGGCAGTTTAGTTCCATGCGTTCTTTTACGCCAGGTCTCCAAGAATTCCAGGAGCCGAGCAGTTGCCAAGGCTTGTCAGCGTGTGGCATCGATGCAGCTCCTGTCGTCTCGCTCCGCTTCCGTTGTGTTTCGGTGTGTTCTTCTCGTGGATGCTGCTGTGCTGCCGCTCACCTTTGCCCTCCTCGTGTTGTTTCCTGCGCGTGTTGGTGTGGTTGAGGGCGGCGGATGGATGGTGGCGGATGGATGGCGGCGGATGGAGGATGAGGAGACGGTGGTCGAAGGAGAGAGGGACGGAGGTGAGATGGGGTGGTGGTGGTGGTGGTGGTGGCGGTGGCGGTGGTGATGGTGGTGACGGTGGTGGTGATGGTGGTGGTGGTGGGTGCGGTGTGTGGTGGAAGTCGAGGAGTGTGTGGTGGGCGAAAGGATGGTGGTGATCGTGGTGGCGGTGGTGGTGGGAGGGGGGGTTGATGGTGACGGTGGTGGTGCGCGTTTCGGGTGTGCGTGGGGATGCCGAAGGGGGGTGGTGGTTGGAGGGAGAATGGTGTTGTCCTGGTTGGCCTCGCTCTTGTCTTTCCTCCCTCTCCCCCCCCCTTTCCCCTCTCTCCCTTTCCCCTTCGACCCGCCTTCTCGCTATGCTCCGTCTGCCCGTGGCTCGTCTCGGCTCGTCTCGGCCCATCTCGCCTCGGCTCGGCTCTGCTCGGCTCTTCTGGTCTCCGCTCCTCCCGTCTCGTCCGCGCGCATCGGCATCGTCATCATCGTTGCGGGCGCGCGCTAAGCAGTTCCACGATTATCTGCAACAACTGCAAGATGCCCGGCCACATCGCGCGCGAGTGCACCAACCTCGCCGTCTGCAACAACTGCGGTGCTCCAGGGTGCGTGCTCTTCCTTGTGCTGCAGAACCGTTCATTCTATATTTCTTTTGTGTTTCCCGCCGCTTCTGTTTTTTTTCTCCAGCATCCATTCCTTTCCATGCCCGTTCGTTCTTCTCCAATCGCTTGTCATTGTGTTCCCTATGTTGCTTGCGCTATTAATTCTTCAGCGCTTTCTCTTCCATCATCTCATGATTCCCGTGTCATCGCTCTTTCGTAACTTCAGCCACATCGCGTCGGCGTGCACGTCGGAGGTGGTGTGTCGCAACTGCAAGCAGCCGGGGCACATCGCAGCGGATTGCACCAACGAGGCCGTGTGCCGCAACTGCGGCAAGCCCGGCCATATCGCCGTCGGCTGCACTGTCGGCGCCGTCCCCAAGTCGCAGGTGAGTTCAGTTTCAGGGCACGTTGCGCGGTTTTGCCACTCTTCTGGTGTTCTCGTTGTCTCTTGCCGTTTGCTACACTCAGCTGGATGTGTTTTTTTTCGTTGCCTCCCCAGTCCTCTCTCCTCCCTCGCTTCTTCTCGCGCTTTTCTGTGCGCGTCTCCCATCACTCCCCTCCCCCTCCCCCCCCTCCCCTCCACCCCTCCTCTCTCTCTCTTTCCCCCCCCCCCTGCCATTTCAGTTGTGCAGCAACTGCTTCAAGCCGGGGCACTCGTCAGCGGAGTGCGGCAACGACATGGCGTGTAACAACTGCCGCCAGACGGGGCACAAGGCTCGCGAGTGCCCCAACGCGCCCGTCTGCAACGTCTGCGGCGTCGCGGGCCACTTCGCCCGCAACTGCCCCTCCGGCGGCGGCGGCGGCGGCGGTGGCGGCGGCGGGTTTGGTGGCGGCGGCGGGTTTGGCGGCGGGGGTTATGGTGGCGGGGGCGGGGGAGGGGCCACCTGCCACGCGTGCGGACTTCCAGGGCATATTGCGCGTAACTGCCCCAACGCTGGTGGTGTGGTGGTAAGTGATGCTTGGAATTGATGGGTTTAGAGTGGTTGTAGAGTGGATGACTCGGTTGGATGCGGTGGGATGCTTTGGGAGTGGGTTGATTGAGTGTGTATGTTGGTGCTGATGGAGGGGTTTTTGGCGGAATATTGTGGGCGTACCGTTTTTGCTGGGCTTTCGTATTGTTTTTTACAACGTAAACAACACATAAACCAACAGTTCACAACACCTGACGCATCTCCCCCCAATTCCTGTGTGTCCGCCCCGTGTGCTCGTCTCGTCTCTCTCGCAGGCGTACCGCGGAGGAGGCGGCAGGGGTGGCGATTTGTGCCACTCGTGCCAGCAGCCGGGGCACTTCGCAAGGGAGTGTCCGGTGGGTTCTGATGCGCCTAATTAGGCGCCTAGTCAATATTCCCCCAATTCCTGTGTGTCCGCTTTTGAGTCGACTCAAAAGCAAGGGATTGTCCGGTGGGTTCTGAGGCGCCTAGTCAATATTCCCCCCATTCCTGTGTGTCCGCTCCGGAGGCGGCAGTGGGAGTGGCCTTTTGTGCCACTCGTGCCGTCAGCCGGGGCACTGTGAGGGAGTCTCAGGCGGGTTCTGAGGCGCCTAATTAAGTTATTCCCCCAATCCCCACGTGTCCCCGTGTGCTCGTCTCGTCTCTCGGCAGTCGTTCCGCGGAGGAGGCGGTGGGGGAGGCGAGCTGTGCCACTCGTGTCGTCAGCCGGGGCACTTTGCAAGGGAGTGTCCGGTAGGGGTGGTCTGCCACGTGTGCGGCGGCAGGGGTCACATGGCGGCGGCCTGCCCGTCTGATCCCCGCGCCATGCGCGGTGGTGGTGGCCGCCGTTAAGGGGCTGTTGTTGGGACGCCTCACCAGGCAGCAGGGAGAGGGGGCAGGGGGCAGGGGAGGCAGGGGCAGGGAGCACATGGCAGCGGCATGTCCCTCGCATCATCGGATGCCGGTGCTGTCCGCCGTTTATGGGCTTCCTGGGGTTGTTCCGGATGGGAAGAATGGGGCAGAGCGGAGGGAAAGGAGGAAAGGCCACTGTGTTGTGGTTTGTTGTTGGGAGTGGGCCTGTGAATTTGCTGAGAGGAACATGGTGGATGGGAGATGTGGGGATGGATGGGATGGAGCGGGCGTGTAATAGTACAATTCATGCCTACTGTTTACTGTTTATGGTTGATTGGATAGTGCTGGATTGTAACCTCTAGGTCGATATGTTACTGCGCTTGAGCTTGATAGTGAGTACATACATTGTCTTCATGCGTGGCAGCAGCAGCACCAGCAGCAGCTTGATGTCGACTGTAGGTATATGTAATTTGGTTTGAGAATACTTGCGAAGTAATTACCCACCCACCCTTGCTAATTGCTGACGTGCAGTTGTGGTACGTATGTGATAGCAATATTTGGTTCCTGTCAAACTAGGATTCAGACAGGTACAGTATATTAGATTCAGACAGCACCATCATTGATGTGATAATGTGAGCAACGAATGGTACAATCTAAAATCAACTTCCAGACGTTCCCGTTTCGGCCTCTAACCTCTCCTCAATGCCATGCCATTATCTGCTCCATCCTTGCCGCACCGTGGTACAGCACCTACCTACCGGTATCTCCCAAAACTTTCACAATGCATAAACTACCCCACCCCATATTCCGTGGTACCTACCGGTATCAGACTCATGGGATGTGCTGTGCATACAACATCCGCATTCCCACCTCACTCCTCCTGCCTGCCTGCTACACAAGCAGAGACAATCATGTGAGCCTACAGACGCCACACCATGTCCTGCTGCCACCCGCTCCAGCCGTCTTCTCAGCTCAGAGCACTCCACCACATCCAGATCCATGTAGTACTCCTTCCCTCCCGCTACCAACGTTTTCTCGTTTTGAGTCGACCCAAAACTCAACCATGCACACTCGAGTCAGTCATGCGAGCCTACAGAGTCTGCACCATGCCCTGCTGCCACCCTCTCCAGCCGTCTCCTCAGCTCAGAGCACTCCACTAGATCCAGATCCACATAATACTCCTTCCCTCCCGCTACAAACGTCGGCTGTAGCGGCCGGTTGCCCTGGGGCGCCGCGGCTATATCGCGGAGGTTTACAGTGGATCGCATAGGGGTGCCCATCCAGGAGAGGGTTTCTACCTGCATGCTCGGCGCGCCTCTGCGGAATCTGATGCTGCGGACGTAGGGGGAGCCTACCCAGTGTAGGGTTGCTGTGGTGGCTGTGCTGAAAAGTGCTAGCGTTCCAGCGATGCTGCCTTTAAGGAGTACGTTCGCGGCGGCTGCGCCTGGCGCTGCTGCGGCTGCTGTTGCTCCTGCTGCCCCGGCTCCTCCTGCTGCTCCGACTGCTCCTGCAGCGCCGGTTACCCCCGCTGCTGCTGCGCCGCCTGCGGCGGATAAGGCGCCAGTGGAGTAGAAAGTGACGATGGGTCCTAGGGTGAGGGAGAGTAGGCAGGTGGAGAGGGAGAGAATCTTCACGTTTCTGAGCGGGGAGGAGAACGGCCCTTGGTACACCACCGCCGCGTTATCGAGTCCGCTTGTAACGCGGGAGTCTAACGAGAAAGGGACGGGTTCGGCTGAGGGTTGCTGATGTGGATCCTGTTGTTGCGATTGGCTCAGCTGGTGAAATCGCCGGATTTGCCGCAGCTGCTGCTTGGTGATGCGAGAATTGGTCGAGATGGAGTCACGGCTTGCGAAGGGCACACTGACACCAACGGCAAACGCGGCAGCTATAGCAGGGCTCTGTGCTGCTAGCGGTGCTGTTGTTACTGGCTTATGCGACCCGAATGCGAATCGGGCGAGGACTCCGGGTAAGCGGACAGGGGAAATTGGCGGAGGTGTCGGCGGAACGCATGCCGCGGTAGCTCCGTCAGCGACGACGATTTGCGACGGGTTGAAGGATCGAGTGAAGGCAGGGTGGCGATCTGGCGAAGAAGTGAGGAGGATACGCGTTTCGATCGGCGAAACGGGCACTGGATCGGTGGGGAGTGAGCGAGCATGGATCCCGGCGCAGTGAATGAGCAGCGCTGGCGGAAGATCGAGGAGATGGCGGCGGGAGAGCGCGGCGACGAGCCCGCGCGAAGCCATGGCAGTGGTGGGAATGTGGAAGTGGAGCAGAGTGGAGGAAGCTGAGTTTGAATGGAGAAGGAAACTGAGTTGTAGGAAAGTTTGTTTGGCTGTTTGTTCGCGTATCGGGGTGTAGCGAGGATGAACATGAAGGTTCTGTAACATGCGTCTGTAGAGAAGCATTCATCTAGAGCAAGTATAATTGGAGATTCTAACCTAAAGCAAGCATTTATCCTTGCAGCTAAATCATTTCTTTTTGTAGATTCTGCTTACACAAGCAACATGTATCCAAACGCATCATACCAGCTGAATCAAGGAGTCTTCAGGCAAATGCTCCATCCATACCCATAGATGCTGCTGTACAATTAGGGAGAGAAGAACAGCGTTTAAATCCCTCCCTTACCCCCCTCTCCTCTCCCGCCTCTAGCTCCACTTAAAATCCGAAAGCTGAGTAACCAGGAAGAACCCGCTCGTCCCTGCTTCAAAAAGCCTCCGCAAGAGATTCCCCCTAGAAAGTAGCCACCACAGCCCCATTGTATAGCAGCACCACTGTCCTATCAGGCCTCCACTCCAACGCCACGTGTAGATCCAACAGCTGAGCTGCCAGTGCCATAGCTGCCTGCATGCCCCCCCTCGTGCTCCCCCCCACAACCACCCCGCCTCCTCTCCCTGCTGCTCCCCCTCCCCCTCCTCCGCCCGCCCCTCCCAGGGAAGCAGCAAGGGGAGGAAGGGTGGAGGATGCGGAGGGAAGCAGGCGGCCTGCGGTGGCTGTATCTGTGGTTGTGCCGCCCTGTGCTCTCGTGCCTCCTGCTGCTGCTGACCCGCCTGCTGCTGTGAAGAGGAAAGAGCCGAAGGCCTGGCAGGAAGAAAGCAGGAGAGACGGAGAGAGGGAGAGGGGGGGAAGAAAGGAGGAAAAGAGGTAGGGAGGGATTCATGGAGCGAGGACTTAGGTATGCTGGTAACTGGTTGATTGCTTGATGTTCCGTGCTAGAACCTTGGAAAAACAGAAGTTGTTGTGAATTGGAGTGTGGGAAGGTCCAGAAGCAAGCAACAAGGAAGTGCAGTGCAGCTGCCATGAAACGAAACGTAACCCCCTGTGAGACAGTGCTCACCATTGTTGGCAGCGCATCCCCACTCGACCGCCGCTGCTGCTCCTGCATCAACACATGCTGCTGCTGCTGCTGATTCAACTCCTCCTCCTCTGCTCGGCCCACCGTGCCACCTCCAGTCAGCACGAGCAGGTCCGGAGGGAGCTCTGGTAGGTGTGGCACCATAACCAGCTTGCTGCAGTGCACTGGTGCCGTGGGCGCTCTAGTCAGTTTCTCCCACCACGCCATGCCTATGGACCACCACCGGAGAACTAGTCCGATCTGCGAGAAGGCCACTACGGCCTCGCCATCTGGCGCGAAAGCGACGGCTGAGATGCTCCCGATGTGCGCGAGCGGGTGCGGGGGGGTGGGCTGGTGGGGGAGGGAGGCGGTGGCTGTGGAAGAGGAGGAGGAGGAGGGGGAGGAGGAGGGGGAGATGGCTGGGAGGGAGGAATGGGAGGAGGACGGAGAAAGCAGGGTGGTTGGTGATGGTGCTGCGGTATCATTGGCAGGAGTAGCAGCAGCAGAGGAGGAGGAGCGGCGGGAGAGGGAGCGGAGGAAGGTGGGGTGGCCTGGAGCGCTGCTGGCGTCTAGCGTGCGGAACTTGGTGCCCCTGGCGTGAGGGGAGGGGGGATGGGAAAGGGGGAAGGGGACTTTTGAGGCGCCTCGAAGGAAGGTGGGGTGGCCTGGTGCGCTGCTAGCATCTAGCGTGCGGAACTTGGTGCCCCTGACATTAAGGAACGGGGTGGGGTAAGGGGAGGAGTGAGGAAAGAACTGGTGGTTAGGGAGAGAGGCGAGGATTGTTGAGATTGAACCACAACATATGTGGATCTGGAGCAGGGAGGTGGGAGCAGGGAGGTGGGAGCAGGGAGGTGGGAGCAGGGAGGTGGGAGCAGGGAGGTGGGAGCAGGGAGGTGGGAGCAGGGAGCAGGGAGTAGGGAGCGGGAGTAGGGAGCAGGGAGGAGGGAGCAGGGAGTAGGGAGCAGGGAGGAGGGAACAAGCGGCAGCAGGGAAGAGAGATCTCACGAGCGCAGGTCGTAGACGTGAATAGCGATGCGTCCCACGTCCCCCACGGCGTCCCCCACAGCGAGGCGCAGGTAGGAGTTGGGCGAGGCGGGCGGGCTCTGGAAGACGGCGGCCATGGGGAAGTTGCGCGGCAGCTCCATGAGCAGCGCCATGGCGGTGTGCAGACAGTTCTTGCGGAGTGGGGGGTTGGACTGGTCCGTGCACTTGAGGGCACACTCCACGATCTGATGGGGGGGGGAAGGTGGGGAAGAGAGGGGGAAGGAGGGCGGCCAGGAAGAGACCTCTGAAACCTCTCCTGACCTCTGTCTGCCATCTATGAGGCCGTTGAGCTGACTCGAGGTGTGTGTGCGTGTGAGTGCAGGCGGGTGTGTGTTGCAAGTGCTCAGGTTGCGCGGCAGCTCCATGAGCAGCGCCATGGCGGTGTGCAGACAGTTCTTGCGGAGGGGGGGGTTGGACTGATCCGTGCACTTGAGGGCACACTCCACTATCTGATGGGGGGAGGGGCAGGGTGGGGGAGAGGGGGAGGACGGCGCGGGTAGGAAATAGAGACAATTGAGTTGAGTCGTGAGTGCAGGCAAATTCTGGATAGAAAGTCGTTAAACTGGTCCGTGCACTTGAGAGCGCACACTCCACGATTTGATGGGAGCGTGGTGGGGTGGAGACGAAGTGGGAGGACGAAGTGGGAGGACGAAGTGGGAGCACGAAGTGGGAGCACGGAGTGGGAGCACGGAGTGGAGACGCGCTCTGGGTGGACTCAAAATGCTCAGAGAGTGGACGCAGGCGAGGTGCCTCTCAACTCAACCACTCACTCACCTGGGTGAGGTTGCAGAGCCGGAGACAAGGTGTAAGGTCTCTCAACGCAACGCACCTGGGTGAGATGGCAGAGCAGCGAGCGCGGGTACGAGCGCACGGCCCTAATGATCGCCATGAGCGCAGTCACATGCACCGATGAGTCAGGAGGCGCGCCCCCTGCCATCTGCCATCTGCCTCTCGAGTCATGACGTCTTTAGACAAGGCCCACACACGACGTTTACCACTGCACCCCTCACCTCATACCACACGCACCACACACACCCTCCCTCCCCCTTCCCTCCCAGCATCACCCGAGTGACACAGCAGAATCACAAACAATGTGCCTCCCTACACAACCCACCTGGGTGAGGTGGCAGAGCAGCGAGCGGGGGTACGAGCGCACGGCCCTAATAATCGCCATGAGCGCAGTCACATGCACCGATGAGTCCGGGGGCGCGCCCCCTGCCATCTGCCCCTGTACTACCGTCAGGAACGCTGCTGGATCTGCCATGGCTAGGGCTGGGAGAAGCGATGTTGCCAGTGCCTCCCGGACTACTATTGCCACTGCTGCTGACGGCTGCCCTGGCGCTGCTGCTGCTCCTGCTGCTGCTGCTGGTGATGATGATGATGCTGGTGATGCTGCTGCTGAGCCTCCTCCCGTTCCTCCGGGCGTTTCGGAGGAGTTGGAGGGGATAAAAGAGGATGAGGAGGAGTGCTGTCTCGTCATCCCTGCACCACCACCGGTGCTGCTTCGGTGGCTGCCTCTGCTGCTTGCACCAGCCACAGCCGCAGCAGCGGCAGAGGCAGCGGCAGAAGAAGCAGGGACAGCCCCAGGGGTGAGAATAGTGCCTGAATCCAAAGAGTGTGCGTCAGAGAGCATGGCTGCTGAGACAGGGACGGAATGGATACCATGATGATGCATGTCCAAGTGCATGTCCGCAAACATGCCGCCATGCATGCCTGAATGCATGTCCGAATGCATGTCAGCAGCGTGCATGTTTGGGTGCATGTTCGCATGCATGTGTGCGTGCACGTCCCCTGTGCTGCTGCGGAAGCCTGACGGCGTGACTGCTGGCGAGGCCAGCGACGTCGGCGTGAGAATATCGTTCATGCTCCCACTACCGCTCACACCACGAGACAACCCCCCTCCTCCTCCTCCTCCTCCTCCTCCTCCTCCCGAAGCCGACCCATACCCCCCCATCCTGCCCCCTCCTCCTCCCGCTCCTCCCCCTCCCCCAGGGCTGCCCATTGAACCTGGTCCCAGGTCAAGTCTCCTCACAATGGTCTGAGGCGACGGGGATGGCGGGCCGGCAACAGAGGGCGAGGGGGCAGCGGACGTGGGCGGAGTGACAATCCCTGCTGCTGTGATTGACCCCCCTCCCATGCCCATGCCCATCTGGCCGCTACTGGCGCCGCTGTGACTTGTAGAGGAGAAGTTGTTGCGAGCAGAAGAAGATGAAACGGCACCGGTGGCAGCGGGATTGTTACTTGATGCACCACCAAGTGATGCTAGGTTGGGATGAGAGAGAGACATAATTCTCTCTCCTCTCCCTTCTCCTCCTCCTCCTACTACCCCTCCGCCTTCCCCCCTTCCTCCGCCTCCGCCCCCTCCTCCTCCCGCCCCTCCACCCCCATTCATCCCTTGCCCTCCTGCCGCCCAAGCTCCCCTCAGATCCTCACAAAGGACAAAAACGTCCGCAATCAGCCGGTGGATCTGCGGGCCAATCAGGGCCTGCCACGTGTCCGCCATCCCCTCAGCTAGAATCTCCGCAGCAGTGGCAGCGTGGCGGCTATTAGCCAATCGCACGAGCCGGAGCAACGAGGGGGCAACAGCAGCAGCTAGGTCGGATCGACCGAGGGGGAGGTACCAGACGGCTAGAGCAGCAGCAACGTTGGTGCGCGCTGCTTTGCCGTCGGCAGGAGTGCCCCCCACGACTGAAACGACATCTGAACCGTCGGATGATTCGATCCATTGGAGCACATCGGACGGCTCCCAGCCAATCCAATCGGGTTGGACGAGCAACCCTCCTCTGCCTCCCTGCTCTGCTGCTGCTGATTTTGCTCCTCCTATTCCTCCTGCTCCTGCCCCTCCTCCTCCCACTCCTCCCACTCCTCCGAATGGCGTTAGCGGCAGGGATGTGGATGTAGGGGCGTCGAGGGAGGAGGAGGAGGAGGAGGGGGAGGGGCGGGGCGAGGGGAAGTGGGGGGAGCGGAGGAGAGGAGGGAAGGCTCGGAGGGCGGCACAGTGGAAGAGAGAGCGCGCTGCCATGCGAATGTGGTCCGATGCATCGTGCCAGAAGCAGGCGTAGAGCTGGACGGGATAAGTGGAGGGGAGTTAGAGGGTGTGCACTATTTGTCGGCGGCTCAAAAGACAAGTGGAAAAGAAGAGAACCTTAAGGGCAGGACACACAACACAGAACCAGGGAGATCTGGGAAGTCTCAAAACTCATACACACACGAACCTCGAGAGCAGGAGCGACAGAGCCAGGAAGCTATTCAGCAAGTTCCCGCGAGTAGAAGGCGGCGAGGAGCGAGCAGACGCGGCGGGACACCGAGGGTGGGTGTGGGGGCAGCACAAAGACAGAAAACGCACATCCAGACGCACGCACACACACACACACACACACACACACACACACACACACACACACACACACACACACACACACACACACACACACACCCATGTGCATGCACTCGTGGACACCCGCACACGCGCAACCCAAGGGCAGGAGCCACAGATCCATGGGGATCTGATCTGGGACGTCTCAAAACTCATACACACACACACGCACCTCAAGAGCAGGAGCCACAGAGCCTGGGAGTTTTGAGTCGTCTCAAAACTCTTACGCACCTCGAGCGCAGGAGCCACAGAGCCTGGGAGTTTCGAGTCTTCTCAAAACTCTTACGCACCTCGAGCGCAGGAGCCACAGAGCCTGGGAGTTTCGAGTCGTCTCAAAACTCTTACGCACCTCGAGCGCAGGAGCCACAGAGCCTGGGAGTTTCGAGTCGTCTCAAAACTCTTACGCACCTCGAGCGCAGGAGCCACAGAGCCTGGGAGTTTCTCGGCGAGTTCCCGCGAGTAGAAGGCGGCGAGGAGCGAGCAGACGCGGCGCGACAGCGAGGGCGGGTGAGGGGGCAGCAGGTGCATGATGCGCTGCGCCAGGGCCACGAGGGCGAGCGAGCGCAGTGCTGAGAAGTGCGGCGAGGTGCGGAAGAGCTGGGGGGAGGGGGGGGGTTGGAATGGGGAGAAGAGAGGGGGGAAAGGAAGGGAGGGGAAAGAAGGGGCATGTTTTGAGGCACGCTTTAACGAGCACAGGCCCACAGGGAGTGTGGCTGTGGCTGTGGCTGTGAATAACGGCACTACTTAACAACCCTGCTTGCCCCTCCCTCGTTTCCAACCCACTCACCTCTGCGCGGCCATGTTGTCCCGGGAACGAGAGCGTGAGCGCGCCGTTATCCCCAGCAAGCCCTGCCCCCCACCCTCTTAACAACCCTCCTTACCTCCGCCAACCCACTTCTACCTCCGCTTACCTCCGCGCGGCCCTGCTGGCCCGGGAACGAGAGCGTGAGCGCGCCGTTATCCCCAGCAAGCCCCGCACCCACACACACTTGCGCCGGCTCTGATACCAATAGTGCAGCAGATAAAGCAGCGTCCAACTGGGAGTCGCACCCCCACAGGTGCAGGTACCGAATGGCATTGCGCAGCGCCATGGCTTCGCCTGTCCACAGCCGCTGCCAGACCGGCGGGTCCCACGGTGTGGAGCGGTGTAAAGCGGTGCCGTGGTGCGGTGGAGCGGTGGAAACCTCCACCCCCTCCCCCTGCTGCTGCTGCTGCTGGTCTGAAACAGCACGCTCCCCTGTTCCTGCAGCAAAGCCGTTCAAGCTATTACCACTGCCACCGCTGCTGCTATCCCTTCTTTCAAGCCCAAGGCAGCGGGGCATGGGTGGGGGCGGTGGCAGGGGGAGAGCAGAGAGTGCAAGGCTGAGATCAGGGGAGAGTAGGTAGGGGAGGTCGAGGAGAAGGATGGGCACGTGTGAGGGGGTGAGGAAACCCTTGACTGCTGGTGAGCGCAGCACGGGTGACACACCAGGGTGCTGCTGCTGCTGCTGTTGCTGCTGTTGCTGCTGTTGCTGTTGCTGTTGCTGTTGCTGCTGCTGCTGGTGCTGTTGCTGGTGTTGTTGCTGCTGCTGCTGCTGCTGGTGATGATGATGCTGGGGAGGAAGAGGAGGATGATGATGACCCGCTGACTGATTCCCTCCAGCATCAAAACCACCTCCCTGATCCGCCTGCTCCTCCCCGACCTCGTCTCCCCGCACCTCAGCACCGCGATCAACCGCATCAAACTCCAGCAGAAGGTTCTCAACCGGGGGCGCAGCAGCTTCAGCAGCAGCGGCGGCGGAGGAGTGAGCAGAGGCTTTGATCTTGGCAGCAAAGAAAGAAAAGAGTGAGTTCGCTGGGTTGCCCCGGAGTATCCTCTCTCTCGCTCCCGAGTGCAGGTCCCACACGAATAGCATGTCCTTTGCTGCTGCTGCTGCTGCCGCTGCTCCTGCTGCTCCCGATCCTGTTGCCGCTCCTGCCGCTGCTCCTCCCACTCCTCCCATTCCTGCCGCTCCTGCCGCTCCTGCTCGTGCTGTCCCTGGTGAGCCTGGCACCAGCTGTGGCACAGCAGATAGTGCACCTGCTGCAGCTGGTATGGTTGCTGTTGCCGCAGCACCAGCAACACCAGTAGCACCACCAGCGGCACCAGCAGTCTCTGGCAATTGGGAAGTAGCAGCAGCCATGCTGGTAGCAACGCTGTCAGCACCACCGCCAGCACCACCACCACCACCAACACCACCAGCAGCACCGATGCTTTCACTTGCTGTGTGGCTCGCTCGTCTCGATGCAGCCCCCGAATCAAACACATCTAGAGCATCGCTACTCGCCCCTCCGCCTATTTCAAACACAGGCCGCTTCCCTGTCCCTAGCTCCTGCTGCTGCTGCTGCTGCTGCTGCTGTTGTTCCTGGGCAGCACTAAAAGCCGCCCCTAAATCGGCCAGAACAGATGCGTTGGGTCCTGAAGCGCGCCCTTTCCTCCTCCCTTTCGTCACAATCAATCCAGACTGCCCCAAGCCACCACCACCACCATCCAATCCCGCTAGCACCCCTCCTCCTGCTCCTCCTACACCTCCTCCTCCTCCACTCCCCCCACCACCATCCCCTCCCCCGCCTCCTCCTCCTCCCTTCTGCGCCCCGCTCTTCCCCTTACTCAGACACACCAGGTACCCCCGCTGCCCGTCCCACAAAATATTATCCACGGGCAGGCGGTGACCGGGCAGCAATCTTTCGCATCTAAGCGTCTCCAGAGAGCTGATACCCACCGCACCATCGTCTGAGAGAGAGGCGAAGCAGTAGCGCCAGGGGGGGAGCGTGCCGGGAGGAGGGTGTAAGAGACGCCTTACTGGTGCCACATGGTGACGGAGAGTGGCTAAGGGACGCAACCTCACCACTGCTGGTGCTGCTGCTGCTGCTGCTGCTGCTGCTGCTGCTGCTGGTGTTGCTGCTGCTTGTCCTGCTGATGCTGCTGTGTGGGTGTGAATATGGGTGTGGGTGTGAGTGCGGTGTCGGCAGTACTGCAGGCAGCCTAAGTCCCACACTCTGATAGTGCCGTCCATGCCCCCACTCACAAGCACACGGCGCAACACCGCCGACTGCTGCTGCTGCTGCTGCTGTTGGTGCTGGAATTGAGTCCCAAGCCCGCTTTTGCTGCGGCCATCTGTAACCTTCCCACCAGCACTCCCCTCCATCTGCTCACCAGCATCATACCCGAACCCACCACCAGCACCACTACCAGCAGCACCAAACTCAGCAGCACAAGCCTCACAAGCACCCTCGTTTCCGTCATCTGGCCACCATTCACCCCGTGGTATCCACTCCAAGGGAGCGGCATGCTCCAGCATGCACAGCACAGGTCCCTCATGCCCCTCCAACCACCACTCCCTCTCCCACCCCCCGCCCCCACTCCCGCCCCCAATTGCCAAACCCCCACGCGCCGAACCACCTCCCGAACCAGCTTCCGAACCGGATGCTGCCGAACCATCTGGTGGGCCCTGGGGTTCTCCTGAAGTGCTATTAGTGCTATCTGGGGAGGAGCTAAGGCGGAAGAGGGGAACAGCCTGGATCTTACCACTGGCGAATCCTCGTAGTACTAGGGAGGGGCCGAAGCGACCCCCACCCACCAGCATGGCTGTTGTCACTGCCCCGCCTGCCCTCTCCTCACACTGCTTCTTGAATCCCTCTTCTCCCCCCCCTCCTCCTGCTCCCCCTGCTCCTCCTGCTCCTCCTGCTCCTCCTGCTCCTCCTGCTCCCCCTGCTCCTCCTCCTAATGGTGCTCCTGTGGTAGCTGCTGCAGCAGCTGCTGATGGTGACGATGGCAAGTACGCTTTGCTACTGCCAGTAATGCTACTCACATCCCCCCTCAGGTCCCATCCTTGCCGTAAGGATGACCAAGCAACCATGGTCGCCGCTCGACCCGATACCTCTGCTTCCCACGACCCATGCCCATCCCAATTCACGTAACCCCCATGCTCCCCATACCCCAACTGCCCATGCCCATGCCCGTGCCCATGCCCATATTCATGACCAAACCCATACCCATTGCCACCACTGCTCGCAAACCCCATCCCCATCCCCATGCCCATGCCCATGCCTATGCCGTGTCTTCCCCCCCCACGCCGCATCTTCCATACCAGCACCATTGGATCCATCCCGAGCCTCTCTTCCAGGATCGGCGGGCCGCTCTCGGTCCGAACCAGCAAGGACTGGGAGAAGCGGCAGAAGCCAAAGCGCCGGCCAACCACCCCAAAGCTGATAGCAGGAGGCATAGCAGGGGGCAACCAGGCAAGGAGATCTAGAGACCAAGCCACTGCATGGGAGGCTCCTCCTGGCATGGATGCAGTATGGCCCCCCTCTGATGCCCCTCCCATTCCCCTGCTCCCCCCTCCTCTTCCTCCCACTCCTCCATCTCCTCCTCCTCCTCCTCCGCTTCCCCCTTCCCCTGCTCTCTCGCGCAGGCAGCAGCACACAGCCCCGCCGTTCTCATCCCATATCACAATCTCCGCCCCGCTCCCCCCGCCTGCCGCGCTGCCTCCCCCCCAGCAGCGCGCGTGGGCGCATGAGGACACGAATCTCGCCCCTGCTATGCGCCCAAACGCGGAGGGCAGGCGCGCAAACGCTGCCCCAGGGACAAGAACGCCTATCTGCGAGAGATTGTGCAGCCAATAGGGAGCCTCCACGTGGGGAGCTACAGCTAGGGCGAGAGCACAGGGAGTGGCGGTGGGTGTGTGCGTGTGTGGGGGGGTGTGGGCGGCCGTGGAAGGGTGTTGGTGTGTGTGGGACTGGGAGTGGGAGTGGGAGTGTGAGTGGGGGTGTGTGTGAGAGTGTGTGGGGCAGGTGTCAGGGGTGTAAGGGGTGGTGGAGCAGAGAAGGAGGGCAGCAGGCGTGGCAAGCACTAGCATGCAACCACAGGGAGAGAGCGCTACTGAACACAGCGCAGACCCACCACCACCGCTGCTACTGCCACCACTGCCACGGTCCCAACCAGAACCAGACCCGTTGGGTGCCTGATTGCTTGTAAAGGGACTGCCTGTATAGGGGCTGGCTGTAAACGGGCTGGTAGTAGGAGGCAGGAGAGGAGAGAACGGGCTATTGCTGGTGGAAGGGGCAGTGAGAAGAGACGAACCAGTGGGTGATAGACAACCAGAGACCAAGTTACTACTGGGGCCTAGAGAAGAAGAGACCCCGATTCCCCAGGGTGTGTGCCCTGTCAACCCTGCTGCTGCTGCTGCTGCTGCTGCTGCTGCTGCTGCTGCCTCAGAGGAGGCGGATACGAGTGCAGCAGCAGCGAGAACGAGAGCGGAGGTGGCAGGCACAGGGGTCACGAGCAGGTGGGAGGTGCGGGCGGTGGGAGAGGAGGGCGAGGAGGGCGAAGCAGTGAGGGCCGCAGGGAAAGTCGAAGACGCATGCGGCTGCGATGGTGGTTGAATAGAGGAAGGCGATAAGGCTGAGGAGGCGGAAGGGTGAGGAGAAGGAAGCGAGGATTGGGAACCAGATGTTGCCCTGCCGGCCACCCCTCCCCCCGCCCTCCCTGCTCCTGGTCGTCCCTCTTCCCATGCGCGTGCTGTGGCGTGTGCTCCCCCCGATCTTACCCCCCCTGCTGCCGCTCCCTGTGCAGCTGCAGCACCCCCAGCGCCTGGGAAAGAGGCACGTGCAGCGGTGGGTGCAGCAGAGGAAGCACGGGAGCGGGAGGGGCCAGGAGGGGCACCAGGCGGGACGTCGCCTGGCCAGGATAGCACGTGCGGAGGGAGAGATGCGGAAGCGGCAGCAGATGGCGCTGCTGCGAACGCAGCGGCTAGGCTGCTGTGGGAAGTGGGTCTACCTGTGCTGCTGCTGCTGCTGCCGGTGCCAGTGCCACCGTCCGCAGCAGGAAGACTGGAACTACTGCTGCTGTTGTTGCTGCTGCTGCTGCAGCTAATCGCTGCTGCTCCGTGCATCGCTGACCCTCCTGCCCCTGCCCCTGCCCCTGCCCCTGCTGCTGCAGCAGAACCAGGAGGTTGTGACACGAGCCGGGAAGCAGACGCAGACGCAGCAGCAGAGGCAGTAGCCGAGGCATAGGCGGAGGCAGCAGCAGTAACAGCAGCAAGCAGGCGAGGAGGGGACGGGACGGAGGTAGGCCAGCAACGGCACGTACCAGCTGAGTCAGTCACCCAGACCACCACACGGATCCACTCACTCCCAGACACGCCTACCACAGCAGACCCACCTCTCCCACTTCCCCCACTTCCCCCACCCCCCCCGCCCTGCCCGCCCCCCCCGCTACCTCCCCCTCCGCCACTCCCGCTGCTGCTGCTCCAGAACCGGGGCGGGGGTGTGGCTAGGGATACAGCTACAGCAGCAATGGGACTATACAAAGGCAAGCTTCCATGCACCACCGTTTGTAGCACGGATAGTGATACGGCTGATACAATCACGACAGACCCACGCACCCCTGCCCCTGTCGCATCCCCCCCTGCCCCCCCTCCGCCGTCCCTCCTCTTCCCCCCGCCCGCGCCCCCGCGCCCCTTCTCCTCCTTCCCCCCTCCCCCCGCTCCGCCATGCAGGGGAGACTTAGGAGAGCCTGTGCCGGCGGCTCCCCCGGCCTTCCCCCCCGCGCCGGCCCCTGCAGTCCCACCAGCACCAGCAGCAGCTGCAGTATCATTCCCAGCAATGCAGAGAAGCGCGTGGGACGAGCCAGGGACAAGGCAAGCAGCAGCAGGGGTGCCCACCCAGGGGGGGAGGCGGCGGCGGCGGCAGCAGCGGCCGGAGGAGGCGTGCCAGAGGCAGAGAGTGGATGCGGAGCAGAGGGACACGAGCGCATCTGCTGGCCAGAGCTCGTCCTCTGCTCCTGTCATGCCGCCTGCCAGCCAACTCATCGCGCCGCCGATGCTGCTGCTGCTGCTGCTGCTGCTGCTGCTGCTGGTGCTGGTGGTGTTGCTGCTGGGGGTGCTGCTGTAGGTGTGGGAGTTTTTTGTGCTGTTGCTACTGCTGATGCGCTCAGAGAAACCGCCATTGCAGGCAGAGCTGTTACCATCCCCCTCTGCGCCTGCCTCACTTTTTTCCTTGAACCCAGCCCCCCCACCCTCCCCTCTCTCCTCGCCTTCTGACTTACTTCCTTCCGATTGCTCCTCTCCCTCTTCTTCTTCTTCCTCCTCCTCCTCCTCCTCCTCCTCCTCCTCCTCCTCCTCCTCCTCCTCCTCCTCCTCCTCGTCCTCCTCCTCCTCCTCCTCGTCCTCCTCCCCAGCACTCCCCTCACCTACACTCGCCAGACTACCTCGGCTCAAATTCTTCCTTTCACCTCTCCGACCCCTATCACCTCTACCATCCCTGCCGTCCTCTCCCCCACTCTCCCCGCTCTCTCTCCCCCCCGCGCCCACACCTCCCCCAGCGCGCATCATTTCGCGCCTGGCCGCGGCAACGGCGGAAGGGACGGTGGCGGAGGGCGGAAGCGCGCTGGCGGGGGGAGCGGAGGGCGCGGAGGCGAATGCGGAGCAGGGGAGGAGCGCAACTATTGGCGCGCTGTGGCCGCACAGGAATTGCGCGGGCCGGATGGGGGAGCGGTTGGGGGGCTGGCGGCGGGGGAACCGCGGAGGGAGAGAGGTTGAAGGGGGAGAATTACGGGGCGGAAGGGCACGGGGAGGGGGAGCAGGAGAAGGAGGGGAGGGGGAAGAGGAGGAAGGGGACTAGGGTTAGTGACGCGAGAACGCGACAAGCAACACGAGGAGCATCGAGTTGACTGACTAGGAGCGAGAGAGGCGGAGGGGAGAAGATTAACGGACGAGGTCCGCTCTGCTTCCCTTCCTACCTACCCACTCAGCAACCCACCCATTCGTGCTGGCTTTCCGAGAAGCTTCCCGATTGGTGTCTCTCCGCCAGGACCAGCGACTCGGGGCATACGCGCCATCTTACGATCGCGCCGTCCTGCGCGCCGGTCCACACGGACGCGCGACTCGCGGCCCCGGAGTTCGCGGCGCCATCCCCGCCGCCGGTCGCGCCGCGTGCCGCGCCGAGCGACGCGACGCACGTGATGTCGTGCTCAGGCGGCGCGTCGGCCCATAATGCCTGCGGCAGCAGCACGCGGAGCTGCTTCGCTGGATTCTCCGACATCGCGATTCGATTCGGGCGATCTGATCACCGACGTGGATGCAGGACAGGATGAGTGGATAAGATAACTGGAAAGTGAACCAGCGACGCAACCGGGAACCTGTTTCAAATTCAATCTCCCGCTCATGGGTCCTCCTTACGTTGCTGGCGCACGCTCATCCTACTTGTTACACGTCACTCCTTACAGACAAGAAGGTACCACCACTGCTCACGGAACCATGGCTGACGCAATTTAGAGTCCAAGTGCAACGTACACAGAACAAAAATGCGAGAAGGAAATACAACTGTAGTATTGTGGCCGATGAAGCTCAACTTTCGAAATCCTTGTAGTGAAGCGTTGTGGGAAAGCGGTGCAGGCGAAACTAGGCGAAAGTCTCGTTTTATGTAACCAGAATGTTTAAAGCCCGCGTCTCATAATTCTGCCCTTTCGACCAAGTGTAATACGGTAGAAAACTGGTAACAGGGTTCCCGTCGCCAAACTACACCTGCGGTTTGCACAGGTTTGGGGGCTGGTTGGGTTTGTGCTTCTCGGCTAGAAATATTGTCGTGACCCAACAAGGGAGGGCCAGCAATCGAACGTGCACCAAACCAAGGTCTGGAAAAGCACCTGACGATACAGAGCGACAAGTTTGTGGTTCATTCGTGCGACACAACCTCGCTATGCGAAAGTCTCCCACAAGGAGACCAACCATATTACTCAAGCAGGGAAATATAGAGACTGCGTTTCACACAGCTTTCCATCTCGCCAGTCAAAATGCCTTCCAAGCGTATTACGCTAGAACAGGGCGACTACCACATCCGTATCGCATAAACTAAAACAAAATTAGGAGACTCGTCAAGTCCGGTGCTTCTGTCGTTCGACCTCCGAGTAGCATTCACCTCTCGCTGTAGGTAAAAGGCGACTCGTAGAACTTGGGCTTCATTCCCGCTGGCCACGATTGGTACACCAGGCTCCTCACGCACAACATCGGCACAGCGCCTCCTTACATTTATCGTCGCGTGCAACTGCCGCATCGGACTCCGCCTGTTTAGAGGGTGAGCGGGAGAGAATATGACGACGAGGCAAATAACAACATGCAGAAAAAATGCCTCTCCGTAATTTACATTGTTGTAATGCTTGGTGAGAGTTGAGGGTAGCGCACGAGAAAGAAGGCCTCAATAACCTGGCGCGAGCCACTCGAACACCAACGCATGTACGGCGTCTGCCTGAAATAAAATCCGCACACCTGCGGATTGGAGTGGTGGAGGGATACAGCGGGGAAAGAGCATTGCTGTCATGTTGCTGTGGGATTGAGTTGGTGGGAAAGGTGAGTGCTTATATGTGGCGGCACGGTTGATACAGCAGGGGGAGAGTAGGGCGAATATGCGGAGGTGGGTTGATACAGAAGGGGGGTGTTGAGTGGTGATACGGGGATGGGGGGTTCACACAATGGGAGACGGGTTAGGGGAGCGTCAAAGACGCGATGAGGGAGTGACAGGTAGGGGGGAACCCTGGCGTGATAGCAGTGGGGGAGGAGAGAGCTAGTGGTGGGGAAGGGATAGCTATCGACGGAAAAAGGAAGCGAAAGCGACCCCGCAGGGGGGTGCTTGCAAAGGAGAAGGGTCATGCATGTGCGGGGAGGGGGGGGGGCAGGAAAGTGGAGAGGGGCGGGGAGAGAACTAGACGAGGAAGGGGAGTGATTTCGACGGGGGAAGGGGAGGGCGTGCATGGGGGGAAGGTTTAGGGAGTAGCGAGGGGGAATGGCATCCGAACGCGACAGCGAGAGGGCGTGACCCTGGCGGGGGTAGGGGAATGGTCGCGTGGGGGAAGGTGAGTGAGAGGGACGGGGAGGGCGTGATCGCGACGGGGGAGGGGAGAGCTAGCGGTGGGGATAGGGGGAGGCAGACTTGGGGAAAAGGGAGAGCTAGAGACGGCGCAGGGGAGTGCTTGCGGTGAGGAAGGGGAGGGCGTGCGTGGGGGGACACTGGCAGGAAGGGGGATGAGGGGTCGCAGGGAGGGGAATGGGGGCGAGGCGGGAATCTGATGGGGGAAAGCAGGGCAGGGGATGGGGGGAAGCAGGGGTGGGGATGGGGGGAAGCAGGGAAGGGGAGGGGGGGAAGCAGGGAAGGGGATGGGGGGAAGCAGGGAAGGGGAGGGGGGGAAGCAGGACAGCAGGGCAGGGGACATGGGGAAGGTGGGGAGGGGACATGGGGAAGCAGGGAAGGGGAGGGGGGGAAGCAGAAAACCGGATGGGGGGAAGCAGGGCTTGGGATAAGGGGAAAGAACGAAGAGGATGGGGGGACGCAGGGAGGGGGTTGGGGGGAAGCAGGGCAGGGGATGGGGGGAAGCAGGGCACGGGATGGGGGGAAGCAGGGAAGGGGGATGGGGGGAAGCAGGGAAGGGGGATGAGGGGTCGCAGGGAGGGGGATGGGGGCGAGGCGGGAATCTGATGGGGGGAAGCAGGGGTGGGGATGGGGGGAAGCAGGGAAGGGGAGGGGGGGAAGCAGGGAAGGGGATGGGGGGAAGCAGAAAACCGGATTGGGGAAAGAAGAAAACCGGATGGGGGGAAGCAGAAAACCGGATGGGGGGAAGCAGATGGGAAGGGAGGCGGGAGGGAAGGCGAAGGCGACGAGCAGTGGATGGCAGGGCGACGGGGAAAGCGAGGGCGACGGGGGGGAGAGAATTGACGGGGGACGAAGGGAGGGCGACGAGCAGAACGGACGGCGACGGGAAGGTGCGCGGGCGACGGGAAGGGAGGGCGACGGGAAGGGAGGGCGACGGGAAGGGAGGGCGACGGGAAGGGAGGGCGACGGGAAGGGAGGGCGACGGGAAGGGAGGGCGACGGGAAGGGAGGGCGACGGGAAGGGAGGGCGACGGGAAGGGAGGGCGACGGGAAGGGAGGGCGACGGGAAGGGAGGGCGACGGGAAGGGAGGGCGACGGGAAGGGAGGGCGACGGTAAGGGAGGGCGACGGGAAGGGAGGGCGACGGTAAGGGAGGGCGACGGGAAGGGAGGGCGACGGTAAGGGAGGGCGACGGGAAGGGAGGGCGACGGTAAGGGAGGGCGACGGGAAGGGAGGGCGACGGTAAGGGAGGGCGACGGTAATGGGGGTGCGATCTTGTGAGGGGCAATGTGCGGAGGAGGGACTGTGAGAGGAGAGAAGATGGGAGACGACGGCTGAAGCTGCAGACACACGGGCAACAGGAGCTGCTGGCACAGTGGCTACCAGGACAGCGCCCCGGACTACTGGAGTAACTGGCTCGGCGGCTACGAGGAGCGGCAGGAGCAACGGACCCACGGGCGACAGGCGCAGCATGCTCTCTGGGCTACCAGGACAGCGCCCCGGACTACAGGTGCTGCGGACGACAAGACGGCAGCCTCCTCTCAGCCTCCCCAAACAGTCCCACCCCCTTGACACACACCCCCTGCTTCACCCCTAACTCCACTTCCACGTCACCCCCCTAGCTCCACTCCCCACGGCTCCCACACCTCCACCCCCCTCAGCAGCAGCTGCAGCAGTGGGAGACGAACAAGGAGGAGGGGAAAAGGGAAGGGGAGCACCCGCACCGCGCACCCCCATGCTCGCCACCCCACACCCCCCACCACCGCAGAACGCACGGCGGCACGAGAGTAATGGGAAGCACGGGGGGGGGGGACGGGACAGGAAGGGGCCGCGAGCGCCTAGCCAGGGCGCCGCAACGGACCAGCAGGGGCCGCGCGCGCCTTGCCAGGGCGCCGTGACGGTCCTGCAGGAGCCGCGCGCGCCTGGCCAGGGCGCCGCGACGAAACAGCAGGGGCCGCGCGCGCCTGGCCAGGGCGCCGCGGCGAAGCAGCAGGGGCCGCGCGCGCCATGCCAGGGCGCCGCGACGGGACGGGCGGGGAGCGCGCGCTGCCCCCCAAGGCGCCACGACGGACGGGCGGGGGCCGCGCGTTGCCCCCGGGGGCGCGACGACGGACGGGCGGGGGCCGAGCGCGCTGCCCCCAACGCCACGACAGACGGGCGGGGAGCGCGCGCTGCCCCCCAGGGCTCCACGACGGACGGGCGGGGGCCGCGCGCGCCTCGCCAGGGCGGCACAACGGACGGACGGGGGGCGCGCGCGCCTCGCCAGGAAGAAAAAGGGCCGCGCGCCCCCCGGGCGCGCGCCACACAGGGAAACCGGAAAAAAAAAAATCCGCCGGCAGAAAGAAAGGGTAGCGCGCCCGGGGCGCGCGACAGCAGTAGAGCAGCGGAAGCATTAGGTGGTGGGCCCACCCACAGGATCGACCCAAGGGGATCGACCTGCTCTGAAACCATGTCAGAAGTACGAGCAGAAAGTTTAGAACAAGAAAGAGGGGTTTGGACTAGCAGCAGTTGGCATACATATAGGAAACCCTAATTGGGTTGTACTCGCTATAGAGTACCCCACTGCAGGCTAGACAATAATAACATTCTGACATCTTGGTGAATATATCAGCAGTGTTGGCCCGAGTGGCCACGTAAGCAAGACGAAGCTGACCACGCTGCTGCAACTCTCGAGCCAGAAAGTAACGCAGAGCGATGTGCTTCGTTCTGTGCTCCAGTCTGTGCTCCTGACACAAGGCAATGGCGGCCTTGTTGTCTACGTACAGAACCGGAGGAGAACGAGGCCGCTCTCCCAAGTCAGTCAGCAGGTAGGTGAGCCAGCGTAACTCCTGTGCAGCCATGGCTGTGGCGTAGATCTCAGCCTCACAACAGGAGCTGAGAACAGAAGACGAGCGTGTAGACCGCCAGGAAACAGAGCCGGAGCCAAGGCTGAAAGTGTAACCCTGTGACGACCGCTGCGTAGCCAGGTCGTCAACCCAAGACGCGTCAGAGTGTCCAGTGAGGACAACGTCACCCCGTCCTCCAAGCACGAGCCCCATGCCCGATGTACTGCACAAGTAGCGCAGTACCCTCTTAGCAGCATCCATGTGCACCTTTCTGTGCCTACCAGGAGCCACGTAACGAGCCAGAAGGCCAAGAGGGTACGCAAGGTCAGGTCGAGTGCAGGTCATCAGGTACATGAGGCAGCCCACTAGCTCTGGGTACGGACCATTCGGCTCTACGGACTCGTCCGAAGGTGGACCTGAGAGCGAGTGGCCTGTAGCCAGAGAAGTGGGCTGTGGCGAGGACCAGGTGAAGCCGAAGCGCTGAAGGACCTGCTGCACCATGTATGACTGAGTCAGTGTGATGGTGCGGCGTGCTCTGTCCCGGGTGATCTGCAAGCCAAGGTAACTGCGCAGCTCACCCAGGTCTGTGCACGTGTGTCTCTTCTGCAGCTCCGACTTCACCAGGGCGAGAGCCTCAGTGTCAGCAGTGGCAAAGACCAAGTCGTCGACGTACACGAGGATGTAGAACGGCGGCAGCGAAGTGTCGGTGCGCAGAAACAGCGACGGGTCAGCAGTGGAAGGAGCAAACCCAAGAGCCGCAAGCGTCGTCCTCAGTGTGTCGTGCCACTCACGAGGCGCCTGGCGGAGACCGTAGACTGGCCGACGGAGGCTCCACTGGGTACCAGGAGGGAACGACCCAGTGAAGCCAGGTGGGCGGCGCAGCCACATCTCCTCGTGCAGACTGCCCTGTAAGAACGCTGTGCTGAAGTCGAGAGAGTGAAGCTCGTAGTCACGCTGAGCGGCGACGTGCAGTAGCACCCGAAGAGTGGTCATCTTCGGGGTGGGGGAGAAGGTCTGGAAGAAGTCAACTCCCTGTCGCTGACTGAAGCCTCGTGCAACGTAACGAGCCTTGAAGACAGGCGGAGAACCCGGCGGTCGCTTCACCCTGAAAATCCACATGCCATCGACGATGTTCGCCCCAGGAGGGGGAACCTCATCGACGTAAGTGCCTGTGGACTTCCAGGATGCCATCTCTGTGTCCATGGCTGTCTGCCACTGAGAGGAGCACTCACCCGCGATCGCCTCAGCGTAAGAGCGCGGGGTCGGGATGTCTGGAGCATCCGGGTCTCCCTCAGGGGCAAGCAGCATGGCCACGAGATGAGGTACAGCAGCCGCAAGACACTCAAAGTCGTCCTGCCTGTCCTCAAAGACGTCCGTGCCAAGAGCACACTCACCCCCGATGGACGGAGGACAGACAGACTCAGACTCAGCAACAAGACTAGCAGCGTAGTCTAGACGACAGGCAGCAGGAAAGTCAACAAGCTCAGCGACTAAAGCAGACGCAGCAGTGGACTCAAACGAAGGGTCAGTGACAACAGTGGCAAGTAGACGCGTGACAGTAGGGGAAGCAGCACGAGCGCGGTCAGACTCAGGGTCTGGAACGTCAGGCAGAGAAGACGCATGAGGGGACGGTAGGGGAACACGCTGCGGAGCAGAGGAAGGACGCAGGGCCATGAGGTGCATGCCGGGGACAGCCGGCGGACGCTCACGAGGAACACGACGACCAGTACGACCAGTGCGGACAGTGCGAACAGGCGAGACAGGACGAGACGCAGGCTCACGACGCTCAGCAAGACCTCCTGTCTGCTCAGTGTAAGGAGAAGGAGCAGGGAGAGGGGGGCCAGGCTGTAACGGAAGACCAGTAGAAGACGGGAGGCTAAGAACCTGGCGAAGCACGGAGTCAGGCGGTGGTAGAGACGAAGGTGACGGCGGAGCGAAGAACAGTCGCGGCTGTGCAGTGCCACCAGCACCAGTAGCTCCAGCACCTCCAGCAACTCCAGAACCTCCAGCTCCAGCGCCTCCAGCGCGAGCACCGCCAGCAGCTCCAGAACCTCCAGCGCCAGCACCTCCAGTACCAGCACCTCCAGCAGCTCCAGAACCTCCTGTGCCAGCACCTCCAGTACCAGCACCTCCAGCAGCTCCAGAACCTCCACGCCAGCACCTCCAGTACCAGCACCTCCAGCAGCTCCAGAACCTCCTGTGCCAGCACCTCCAGTACCAGCACCTCCAGCAGCTCCAGAACCTCCTGTGCCAGGACCTCCAGTACGAGCACCTCCAGCAGCTCCAGAACCTCCAGCACCAGCACCTCCAGTACCAGCACCTCCAGCAGCTCCAGAACCTCCAGCGCCAGCACCTCCAGGACCAGCGCCACCAGCAGCAGCACCCCCAGAACCGGCACCTCCAGCCCCAGAGTCTCCAGCCTCAGTGTCTCCAGCAGCAGCACCCCCAGAACCAGTAGTACCTCCAGCCCCAGCAGCTCCAGTACCTCCAGTACGAGCACCTCCGGGACCAGTGGCTCCAGTAACTCCAGTAGAAGCGCCTCCAGTAGCAAAGTCACCAGCTCCAGTAGCGCGACCCTGACGGCTAACGTACCACTCACGCAACTGCTGTGGGGAGAGAGGCACACGCCGACGGGAGTGCTGCGGCGAGGCACCAGCGGAGCGACTACGGAGGCGGCCACTCCAAGGAGACTGCTCACCAGGCGCCTCAGTGCCCCCAGGCGCAGCACCCCCAGACTCAGTACCCCCAGGGTCAGCACCCCCAGACTCCTCACGCCCAGGCTCAGCACCTCCAGGCTCCGCACCCTCAGGCTCAGCACCCCCGGGCTCCTCACGCTCAGGCTCAGCACCTCCAGGCTCCGCACCCTCAGGCTCAGCACCCCCAGGCTCCCCACCCCCAGGCTCAGCACCCCCAGAAGCAGCACCCCAAGCAGGACCACCCCCAGTAGGACCTGAGTCACCAGTGACCTCAAAGGGAGCAAGGTCTACCTGAGACACACCTGAAGGAGCAGGACCTGGAGCGGGGAGGGGGTCTACCTGGGGAGGTCCTGGAGCGAGAAAGAGCGGCGGGGGGGGGAGAGGGGCAGTGCGGTAGGGAAAGAGACGGTAAAAGGGGACCGACTCGTCAAAGGTGACGTCCTGAGACGCAAAGACACGGCGCGAGGCGGGGTCGTAAAAATGTCAGCCAGGCGCGTCAGGAACAAAGCCAAGGAAGACGCAGGGAATGGCGCGAGGGGAGAGCTTGTCCGCAGTGGTATCGCGGACAAAGGCACGAGCACCCCAGACCCGGAATCGCGATGCATCGCCAACCTCCCCCGTCCAACATAGTGTGGGCGAAGTCTCCGGCACGGAGACACGGGGCCAGAGGTTGAGCTGATGCGCGGCGTACCGGACCGCAAACGGCCACAGAAAATGGGGGGCAGCCGCATGGATCATGGAGGTACGAGCGACCTCCATGACTAAGCCAATGCAGCGCTCAGCAACCCCATTCTGCTGCGGAGAGGCCGGAAGCGTGAACGTCTGGCGGATGTCGTGCTCCTCACAGTAGGCTTGCAAGAGGTCGGAGGTGAACTCACCACCTCTGTCGAAGTGCAGACGCAGGACAGGAAAGTCCGACTGGAACCGCTCGCGGAGCTGGAGACGAACAGCGCGGATCCAGGGGATCAAAACAGCAGGGACGTCCCCCTTGCGCTGCAAGGGGAAGACCGTGGTGTAACGCGTGTAGTCGTCGACTACCAGCAGGAAGTACCGCTCGCGGCCCTGCCTCTGGACGCGGGTTGGGCCCCACACGTCCAGGTGGAGAGTCTGTAGGGGAGCCTCTGTGGGAGGGAACGTCGAGTGAGGAGCGGCGCGCTGCCGCCCCTCGGCGCAGGCGAGGGAGGGAGGGAGGGCAGAGACCTGGGAAGACCAGAGA